ACGGATGATTCAAGCAATAACAAAAACTGTTTTGCTGATTCTCGTCCAGATTTCACCTGAAAACTGTTCCCTTTGATTTGTTGTTACAAAGGGAATCCCTTTGAAAATGATATTTTAATATATATATGTACAAAATGAGAAAAGAGAACTTCCTAACGAAGAAAAAAATATTTACCAGTGCAAACATATCATTTGCAATGCCAAATCGGTCAAGTACGGGGATCTTTTTAGTTGAAAAATCAGGCAAAAGCGCTTGTAGCATATCATGTGAATATAAAACACGATAAAAACCCGTAGATCCAACGTTCAGCTGTAATGTACTTTTTTGATAAAAACACTTCACAAAAAATGAAGTCTTCACGCATTTCTCTGACCTGTGTACTTCTATTGCTGCAATTTCGAAAATTAATCATACAGTGGTTGAACAGAGTCTACAGAACAGTGATCAACGAACACCTAATATAATATTTAGCTTTGCAGTTAGATAACGCTAAACGCCAATAAGTTGTTTCAAGTGAAGGAACTAAACTAAAAATACAACAACGAATAATCCGCCAATATCGTTCGAAACAGAGGCGTTCAAACTTTTTTTAATATAATTCCATTTTAGAATATGAATATTACCTTTATCCAGTCTTTAGGATCCACGTCATTAATCGTAACATCTCGCTCAAATTCTTTCAGCAGAATCCTTTCTTTTATTTTTTCCGGTTTAGATGATATGGAGATCGTAATTGGAATCTGCAGGTGCAGTGATTTTTACAATGTCTCAAAATTTAAATGTTCCAAAATAAAATAATTAATAAATACCAAGCTTCGCAGCTATTTCCAATTTTTTATATACTTTGACCAGCAGTCAAACTTTTCCTTTAATTAATGAAAGCAATGACTGGCGTTATCAGCCTGTCTGCGAAAGTAGCTCGAATCCGTAAATCTAAATATTGAAATCGGGCAACAACGAAATATTACATGATGAACTTATTTATTGAAAAATCATAGGAACCAACCTGCCATAACGAATTCTTTTCGTCAACGGTACCATCAGCGAGAAATCTT